ACTGGCTAGCTCCATTTTAAAATAACCTAGACCAACTTAGCTGAGTTTGGGGAATGCACCGTGGAATCGCTAGATGCCTATGTGGTTTGTGCGAACAAACTCAACTTAGAGGGTTAAGTGGGAGTGAGGAACACTGACCAATAGAATATTGGTAGCTTGGGGTTGAAGTGAGAGGTCCTTGGTGCTCTCCGAGCTTGCTGGTTTTCTTGCAGACGTTTCATGACCCAGCTAGGTAACATCATCAGAGCACCAAGGATTCCACGCTGACCAATCCACTTTCTGATAAAGTGCTTGCCTATATATTGTCAGAGTATATTCATGAACTGGAATAGAGCATGGTAACAAAGTCAGCCAATAGGACTGTTTGGAAACTGAAACTAGAAGTAGCCTAGGCGTGGCTCTGTATTAAGCTCTGCAGCTCTGAAGCTCTGAGTCTATTGAAAATGAAACTGCTTCTCTCCTCTGCGTGTCTTGCTTCCTTGCTGAACTAAAATGAAACTGATGTCTGTTTCTGAAGTTGAATTGCTTGTTCTGCTCTGAACTTGTAACGTCTGCTTCTGTTTGAGTTTGCTCCATGTTGGAGAAATCTACAACTGGTATTGTAAAATTTACTTCCATTTGTTTATAAAGAAGTTAAATGAAGCCTCAACCATCTGTGTTTAATTTGAATTTATGCTGCAATACTCTGTATATAAGTAGGACAGAGGAACCTGTGGGACTTGGCCTACTACCTGATGACCAAATGAAACCTACATGAGGGGTGGGACTTTCTCAAAAAATGTTCCCTTGAAGCTGAAGAGGTGAAAAACGTCTTCAAGGAAAAACAAAGTCCAGTTGCCTGTCCATAAAAGCTCCTTTGGGACAACCATGACCTGTATGATTGAATCTGCGTAGAGAATGATACTATTTGATGTTCCCTGAGTAACAACACTCATGTTTCTAAGCTAACTTCACTACGGGAAGCCTAAACATGCAACAGAGTTGAATGTCCTTAAAGTGAACATGTCGCCTGGAGCAAAAATACGTTTCAATATCACCAAAGATCCCTTTACGTCTGAAAGTCACACCAAGGAATGCAGACACAATCTGATTGTTGGTTTTATTAAAAGAGAAATGAGGTAAGTGGAACAACTTCAGACATGACAATTCTCCCCAAGCAAAACCCAATTTAATACTTCCAGTGAGAGGTTTGTCTGAATTTATTCCTGCTAAAGTCATAATGATCGCTGCATTTTTTAAGGGATTGTGCAGATTCAGGAAGGACCCAGGATGCACCTTTGCTCGTTTTCCCTCCTCTTCAACCCTGTGTGAGGATGTGTTGATTTTTTTAAAAAAACTTTGGTGGACTAGAATTTAAGGTGTAAGATTGAAAAGGCCACCTTTTCATTGGGGTTGTTTTTGCAGCTTCTAAAAAGAAACCGGTGTGGGGTCGAAAGTAACAGCCACTTTACAGGTTTAAGCTGGGGGTTACAAAACTGTTGGAATCAAGGACTCCTTTAAACACAACACATCAGTTTGTATGTTTTGCATGAGGGAAGGAAGGGCAAAAAATAATAATAATGCAAAGATGGATGTCAGAATCTAGACCAGAGGTCTCCAAACTTGGCAACTTTAAGGCTTGTGGACTTCAACTCCCATAAGTCTGGGAGTTGAAGTCCACAAGTCTTAAAGTTGCCAAGTTTGGGGACTCCTGATCTAGACTCAGTTCTTGGCAGGATTGTAGGCTAAATGTGGTTCCCTGGCTGTTCTAGGTGTTGCGGGGGGGGGACTTGAATGCAATGTGCTCTCTGGAACCTAGGCCATCCTGGAGTTCAGCTGAACATCTATTTTCTTTAATGAAGAAATAATAGGGGGGGGGGGTTTCAAAAAAGAAAGGCACTGAACTGAGCCCAGGAGGGACGTCTGGTGGAGATTCAAGCCCACCACCACGGTCCCATAAGTAAGCCTGTTCTTTCGCAACATTTTTTTTTTAGTCTGATCTATGTGGACCAGCTTTATTTTTAGCCCAAAATATGTGCTTTGCGGAAGAATTTCTATCTCCCTTCAAACAAGGTTCCTTTCCATGTGTTAGCCTGCTGCAAGTCACTGATAGCCCTCCAGATGTCCATTCTTACCATTCTGGCCAGTAACCAGGAGTGGGGCTGCTGGGGGTTTGGGAGAACCCCCAAATCCCACTCCTGGCTGACATAATTTCGGGGAAACTTTGAGGTTATCACATCTGGAAGCTGGAGAAGGCTGGGCTCTCTGAACTACAGCGAAGCTGTGTTTTATTTCACACCACTTGGCACTTTCCAGGTTAAAAAAAAAAAAGAAGAAGAAACACACCTGGGAACCAGATTCTCACAGTCTTAAGATTTTTAGTGAAGCTTGGTTGGTTAATACTGTGCTATGAGGATCCTCCCAACCCAGATCCCAAATTAGATTCCCTCCCCCACTTTTTGTATTATGTTGAGCAGGATGGATTTGAGCGCTTTGCAATGTAGGAAAAAACCCAACTGCATTAATTCCAAATTACTGGGGTTTTTTTAAGCAAAGAAAAAAATGAGGTCCTTGGTTTAGAAAGAAAATTGAAGTGTCTGGGGAGTTTTATTACTGCCCCCTCCCAACTTGGATCTAAGGCTGGCTCTGAGAGTTGGTGTGTGTGTGTGTGTGTGCGTGTGTGTGTGTGCGTTTAGACTCTCCCATCACAGCTAAACCCAGCCCACAGGTAAAGAGTCCCACAGGTAAGAATCAGCTATACAACTCGAAGGCATTTAGGACAGCTTGCCGCGTGAAGCCAATTTGCCATGCCCAACTCACTGCGGGACAATTCAACGTTGAATTCATCGTTCCACTCAGTTACTTTTATTGACGGTGGCCACGTTTTTTCATTGAAATTAATGTAACTCTTGTGCTTCTGGATTGACTTAATTTTATTTTTATTGGCAACGGTTCCGTTGAAATTAATTTCATTTTTTTGTCTTGGTTGAATTGTCCGGGGAGTTGTCCCATTCCGAGCTCGGGGTGGATGAGTGGGATGTCCCACAACTGCACGTTATAGGCATGGTGTGGCTACAAGGAGAAAGGAAACGCTCTTCCTTTCTTTCTTGGACAACCGAGTTTTGAAAATGGGATCCCAAATCGTGCTGGTGGGCGAGATGCTTTTTCCACCCAGCAAGGCACATGTCCCCTAATTCCTACCAGAACCCCAGAATCGCATCTCTGCAGATTTTACAAAGTGCTGCTGGTCCTCCAGTCCTACACATCACATACACACACCTGCCCACTTAGCCACCTGGAGCCTCTTTTGCTGATCCCACCCCCCCCAAAAAAAAACCCAGTTGCAGCTTTCAGCACTTCCTCTCCTGGCTGGAGGGCAGTGGAAAGAGATGCTCTGATGCATCCCCAGTCGGTGTGCTGGATGCAATAGGCTAGAGAAGTGGTGGCTATCCTTTTTGGGCTCCTGCGCCGAAAACTGAGTGCTTGTGTGCCAGCACCCAGAAAGCAATTCACCCACCCAAGCCTCCTGCGCATGTGTGCATGATCCCCCCCATGCTGCCCCCTTACCTGCACTGCGCATGCATGTGCCTCCCAGCTGATTTTTGGGCCTTTTTTGGTCTCCCAGAGGCTCGAGGGAAGCCTCTGCAGCCTTTGGAGACCGAAAAATGGGCCCGTTTAGTCACTTTCGGTATTTCCGGAAAGACAGGAAGTGACGAAGCGGGCCTGTTTCTCCACCTGCAAAGGCTGCAGAGGCTTCCCTTGAGCGTCTGGGAGGCCGAAAAAGGCCTGAAAATCAGCCGGAAGGAAGGTGTGCACATGTGCAGTGAGGTAAGTTTGCCTGGGGCTCGCATGCCCGCACAAATGGCTCTGTGTGCCACAGGTTCGCCATCACGGGGCTAGAGTTCCCCAAACTTGGCAACTTTAAGACTTGTGGACTTCAACTCCTAGAATTCTCCAGCCAGCTAGGAGTTGAAATCCACAAGTCTTAAAGTTGCCAAGTTTGGGGACCCCTGCAATAGGCTCTACTGCTTATATATAAGGAAGGGATTTCTTTCATTGGCTGCCAATACCAACGTTCAGAACCAAATTAGGGCCATTTCACTGGGGCAGGTTGAAGTGAAGCTTCCTTCCTGGAGCAGCAAAAACCCAAGGAGGCGATCAGCAGGTGGAGTGAGGAAGGGAGGGTGTCTGCAAGCCAAAAGAGCGTTGGCTTAATCTGTGCTGTGGGTACCAAGGAATGGGGCAGAGAAGCATGATGCCTGCTGTAAGAGAGGCACTCCGGGCTGGGTTTGGTCCAGCCTGCCCTGGGAAAACTGAGGGGTGCTGGATAGGTCTGTTTAACGCCCAAAGACTGGTTGTTATGACCACAGAAAGCATTGTGCTGCCTTTTAAGCACCCCCTGGCTGCTTGGCGGAGGGAGCCCAGCTCGAGGGAGGGGAAGACGCATTGCTGCCGCATAGCTTTCCAGAGAGGAAAATGGGTCCTTTCTCTACTTTATGATGGAGGGAGACGCCCTTTCCAGATTAAGGGGGATGAGTTACACCAGAGGTCTCCCAAATCTGGCAACTTTAAGACTTATGGACATGGGAGTCGAGTTGAAGTCCACAAGTCTTAAAAGTTGCCAGGTTTGGGGACCCCTGAGCTACACGAAGTCCGAGGGTCTCCCTTTAGGCACAGAAATGGTGACCCCCCGCCCTGCCCCAGGCTGCTTCAAGAAGGGGGGATTTTTTTCTATCACTGCCTGTCTCCTGTAGGACTAGCTGATGAACCAAAGGGCCCCAGGGAAAATGGGGGGAGGGGGAGCAGCCCCTCCCCCCCGTTACCACAGCGGTTGGGAAACCTGGGGGATCTTGAGTTTGGGGAGGGGGATGTTAAGTAACACATAAAGTGGCTCACAACGGACATCAACTCCTTATCTCCCCCCACCTCCCACCCCACCCAACCACCCTTTAAATTCTGTGACCTCATGGCACGACAGTACCATTCATAATCTGGGTAAGTGCTGTACAGACAACCGTTAGTTACAATATTGGTCCAGTTTCATTTTCTTGTTAAATAAATAGGTACGATTACGTGGCGTCCATAAATTATTTTAGGCGTGTGTGTGTGTGTGTGTGTGTGGATGTGTGTGGGCGCGTTCCTAGAGTCTTTTGCAGCTAGAAGGACACCCTGCCGTTGTCTTCCGTCGAAGTCTGGTTTTTTTAAAAACACGAAAAATAATTAAAAAGTCACTTTCCAGCGTTTCTTGGCAGGTCCACGTTGTGTGGGGGTTGAGAGCGGCCCGCGGCCCTTTCTTGCCCGCCACTATGGAAGGGTGGGTGGGCGTCTCCTTACGTGGAGGCGGGCGAGTCCATTGTGGAGAGAATGCGCACGATCTCGGCCCGCTGGGTGGCCGATATGTGCTGCGTCATGTGGACGATGGAATCCATGGCTATCTCTGGGTTCGCCTGCACCAAGCTAGGAGAAAGAAAAAGGAGAGGTAGGGACCTCGGAAGGGGTAGACGGACACTCCGTTTGGGAGCCCAGCTCTCTGGTCAGGCCACCAAGTGCAGGTAGTCCTCGACTTACGACGACAGTCGGGACCAGAATTTCCATTTGCTAAGCAAGACTTAGCAAGTTCAGTGAGTCAGCCCCCTCCCATTTTGCAACCTTTTTTTTTGCCATCACTGCACTGCAGAGAATCTACCCAGGGCTGGGATTCTACTGGCAGAACAACCAGTTTGGTGAGTGTGCGGTTCGTCACCTTTTTTTTCCAGTGCCATTGCAACTTCAAACGGTCACTAAACTGTTTTAAGTTGAGGACTATTGTAGACCACTGGCATTTCAGATTTATGGAGTAGGAAGGCCCCCTGAGGGTTGCAGAGTCCTCTTACCTTCGTATCTGTTTGAGTATGTAGTCCCTGGAAATGTATTTGATGTTCTCGTCAACCACTGACCGGGCTCCTTCTTCCTCTGCCAGCTGTTTCTCCAGCCACTCCACCAGGTCCTTGTTGTTGTCCCATAAGTAGGCCTGCCAAAAAGAACAACGACAACTTGTTCTCACCCAGGCTTCCCCAAAAGCACAAAGCCGACTCCACGTCCCGATAAAACCCCTTTTATTTGGTTTACGGTGAATTCCTCTCCAGCAAAGTCCCAGCCAACAGTCTTTCAAGATATTTTGCAATTATAGGCTTGGAGAGGCTTGGAGAGTTGCCAGACCAATATCTTTCAGATGCCACACTGTGGCAGACAAAACTCGGCAAGAATGCAGGAACAGATCTTCACCCAAATGAACTAATTGTCTCCTGCCAACCTCACTCCCCTTTCACTCCTCTTTTATTCCAAATAAATAAATAAACAAACAAATAAGCAAACAAACAAATAAATAAATATGGCTTTACTCCCAAGTCGACCCTTGTTCCTTAACTGTTCTCTTCTCCTGGCAGCTCTGTGCATGTGCACATTAGGAACAGGCTCCAGCTGTTCCTCTGTCTCACTAATGTCCGACTCCAAAGGCAGCTGATAACTGTCAAACAGCCCTTGCCCCATCTTTGCCTCCAATGCAGAGCACTCATCAGAGCCTTGCCCAGACTCCAGAACTGGCCCATGTTCCTCCCCAACCTCCACACTGTCTGAATCTGCTGCCAGCTCTGCTGGTCGCTAGCGGGCCGCAACACAAGTAGAGTTGTTGACTAGCTTAAGGAAAGCATGACTTAGAGAATGGTCATAATTAGGGAGCAGAAAACTCAACGTCCTTACAAAGAATTCAACCTCAACTCCCAAAGAGGTCTGGATAGAGTCTGGAGAACTTGTGACCAAAGCTGAACTTCATAAAGAGTCACCTCTTATATCTTCAACAAGACTCCGTTCCAACACTAGACAATCTTCAGTTGAGTTTGTCAAAGCTACATTGCTCTACTAGATAACCTTCCTTGCTTGGTCCACCACTGAGGTCAGTCTTTCTCAACCTTGGGAACTTTCAGTTGTGTGGACTTCAACTCCCAGAATTCCCCAGCCGGCATGCTGGGAGTTAAAGTCCACACAACTTAAAGTTGCCAAGGCTGAGGGACAATGACTTAGGTCTTCTGATTCTCTGGTTCCAGTCCAAGGGGAGGCAAACTAGCTCACGCTATTCAAACGTTGTTTGACTTGTGTGTTGAAGCTACACTGTTATTTGTACCTGCCTCTATTAAACTAGAGGTACAACAGCTTTGGAGGGTGGAAGAACAGTGAATGGAGGAGGAAAAAGAGGAAGAGGAGGAAGTGTTGGTGGAGGAGAAAAGTAAGGAAGAAGGAGAAAGAGGAAGAAAAGATAGAAATCCCCAACAGAAGTCTTCAATTTTGTTCATACCAATTTCTAGGAATGATTTATGCATCAACAGGAAAGCTGAACGGTAGCTGGCTTTAATCATATTGTTAAAAGCATCTCATGTTGTAGCTTCCAATTGCAGGCGTATTTATTTGTCTGATTTAGAGTCTGTCCCAATCTGTTATGATTCTGAGTGACTTAAAAAGCACAATAGAAACACAAAAAATATCAAAAGAATCTGGATTAAAAAAAATCCACGATACAACAACAATATCCCACAAGGGATCCACCACCCATTCTAACCCAAGGCTTGTTTTAAAGGCCCCTTTAAAAGGGGGTAGGGGGGCTGACCCTGCTTTCAGCATGTGTGTTGCTAGTTCTCGTGGACAATTTGCTGTAACGGGACCAAAAACAACCTCGGCAATTTCTGCAGAACCGAAATCTTGTGTCTTTCTTACATGTACCCAGTCCAGCACACATACCCCCAAATCCCCGTTTCTGAATTAATGAACATCAGAAGAGAAGATCAAAATGCCGCGTGCCGTGGGGGTGAAATGACTCTAGCAGTAAATTTAGAAGGAGGAAAAATATATATATATATATATCAGAAGGTAGCAAGATCAAGATCATTTACTTCTCTGTATTTGCCAGGTAGTTGACTATGTAATAATTCAGGAGTGTGTTTGAACCCTAATAGCCATCTCACTGCTTCTCTTCGCCTTTCATTTTCTTTACAAATCATTTAAGAATCGTTAATGGTTTCCAGGGGTGAGTAAAAAAAAACACCAAATACCACCATTAGCGCTCATTCATATTTATGTCATTTTATTTGGATAATTAAACACCAAAGCTCATCATTTAAAGGTGCACTATCCTTCTCTGTTATATTGCTAATGAAGTCCAAGTCAGAATGACAATGAATTTCCCATCATGATTTAATAGCCTCCCATGAAGGAAGAGTGCGGCTTTTCCCCAGCTGGAAACATCTGCCGGCTCTTTAAGACTGACCCTTCGGCCTGGTGATTCTGCGGCAGCCACACACAACACAAAATCTGGCCCGGCAAAAGCATCGGATGAGGTGGAAATAAAGTGACTTGAGCCTCAGCAGCAGTGGAGGGGACGGTCCCCAAGGGGGGACACAGATATATTTATAAGGCCGGGATAAGTTGACTTTAGCTGGATTCCCACATTTGAATTTAGTTTTTAAAAAGAAGGCAGAATTCAAGATTCACACGATAGCAATTAATTCTTATTTTGTTTGAGCCCCAACCGGCTCCAGGTTGACTCAGCCTTCCATCCCTTCCGTGGTCGGTAAAATGAGGACCCAGATTGTTGGGGGCCGTATGCTGGCTCTGTCAAACTGCTTAGAGAGGGCTGTAAAAGAACAATGAAGTGGGAAATTCTAAAGTGCTATTGCTATTTTTTTAAAAAAATTCATTTATTGAATTTGTTTGCTGCCAACCTCACTACGAGGTGACTCTTATGGCCTGCCTTTAATATTTTTTGCAAGCAACTCAATGCGGCGAACATACCTAATACAGGTAATCCTAAGACCAACAATCCTACGATTTTGTGCCCAAAATTCCTGTTGCCAAGTAAGACTGTTGTTAAGTGAATTTTGCCCCCATTTTACGATCTTTCTTGCCACTTTTCGTTAAGTGAATCACTGCAGGTTTGTTTTTTAATTTGTAATGTGTCAAACAAAAACCGAAAACACAAATAATATAAAAACAAAATGACAGGGACGACAGGCACATTAGTTCTCTTATGCACAGACCTCTTAAATATGAAGCGAGGTCCACAGAAGTCAACTTGTGACTAAAACTGTGAAAAATTGTAGCTGAGACAACTGAATCAGGTGGAGCATTCCAGACTTCGACAATTCTATTACAAAAATCATATTTTTTTACAGCCAAGTTTAGAATGGTTTACACTGAGTTTGTTGTTAATAGTTGTGGCTTAACAACTGGATAGTTGGTAAGTTATTAAAATGATTGTTAAGTGAATCTGGCTTCTTCACTGATTTTGCTGATCAGAAGGTCTCAAAAGGAGGTCATGTGACACCGGTGTCAACTAAAAAAAAAATTCTTTGGTCTTTTTAGTTGCCAGCAGAAAGGGAGGGGGGAAAGTAGTGCATTCCTAAAATACTTCAGTTAATTGCTAGGCAGCCGAAGCTGTTGGCACGCAAGATTATTACTGGAGAGCATGATTGATGACTCTTGGCTATGGATGTGTCCCATTGGGGTGGGGGGAAGACCAGGGTCAAGGGGAAAATGAATGGTGTGTCCTAGTGTCGGCTGCACCCAAATAACGCCGACATGGTCACTCCTAATAAATCCATTTTTTAACTCTGAGAGATGCGGCTAGAGACTTATGATTTGAATGGGGGTGGATTTGTTGGAGCCCTGACACCCGGGACACGGTAACCGTCATGAGTCGGTTGTGCGAAGTGCCTGAATTTTGATCACGTGACCATGGGGTGGCTGCAATGGTTGTAAGTGTGAAAAATGGTCCTCACTAAGTCGCTTTTTTCAGTATGGTTGTAACTTCGAACAGTCACTAAATAAACTGTTGTAAGTCCTTCCTCCTTCCATTTTCCCCATAACTCTAAAAGGCAGAAGGGCGGTTAAGAAGTTTGGTATATAGGCAAATAATAAAGAAATGAATAACGGAACCCCCGGTTGTATTAGCTTTGGCTACCTGTTCACCCTCTTTCTATAGGGCTTTTCTACCAATGGAGGACAAGAAAGACTGTTTTTTTTTGAGGAGGGGTAAAAAGATATCAGGGAGGTGGGCATGGAAGATCACGTTAGGAGGAGATGCTCTATTGCTTTTCTGTTTGAGTGGGATTTATTAAATCGAAATAAGTATATATTGCTGCCTTGAGTCACAATGGGCGAATAGGCCGCAATATAAATCCAATAAATAAATATTGGATAACAATAATAAATAAATAAATAAATAAATAAAATAAATAAAATAATAAATAAATAAAAATAACTGAGAGGAAGCCTGGTAGAGAGAGATGGGCAAGTCCAGCTATTCCCCAAAGCCCCTGAGGGCAGGACAAGAAGCAACGGGTGGAAACTAATCAAGGAGAGAAGCAACTTAGAACTGAGGAGAAATTTCCTGACCGTTAAAACAAATAATCAGTGGAACAACTTTGCCTCCAGAAGCTGTGAATGCTCCAACACTGGGAGTTTTTAAGGAGAGATTGGATAACCATTTGTCCAAAATGGTATAGGGTTTCATGCCTAAGCAGCGGGTTGGACTAGAAGACCTCCAAAATCCCTTCCAACTCTATTATTCTGTTAAATATATGAAAGATAATACCAGTATAGATTATACAGTATTTTATGTTAACTATATATTTGGTTACTTAATGAGCTAATGGTTCACTGATGACCTTTACAGAAATTCTTGTACTACAAGAATGTGATAGTTTGGAGAGATTAAAATAGAAATATTTTAATATTTTATAATACAGAATAGAATATTCTTTAATAGAATTAATAGAATATTCTATTCTAATAATATAAATAAATACGGGATAGAAATAAATATTCTAATAATATAATAGAAATAAATATGGGATAGAAATAAATATTCTGATAATATAATAGAAATAAATATGGGATAGCTGAATATTAATTGACAGGATACACCATTTCTCACAATGTTATATTTTGGGGGAATCTACAGCATTCTTGGTCCCAAGGATACAAGCAGCGCCTTAACGCTTTTAAAAAAATAAAATGTCATCAATATGGTAAAACATAAAGTTTAAAAGGTGGTGGGACTTGGATTTTAATTTCCATCGCTTTCCAGATTCCAATATTGGGTTTCTTTCTAAAAAAGAATTAAAAGGTACCCCTAAAAGGGAAGGAATTGGTTTGAATGAACAGACACCCTTGCCCTGCCAGTTATTTTATTATAAAATTTAGCAACGTGAAATAATAGAGATGATGCCTTTATGAATGCACAGCAGTCAAAGCTAATTATATATATATATATACTTATATTTAAAAAATCTGCCAAACGGTCCACATGTTTTTTTAACATTTCAATGACTGTCTATTGGGGCACAGCAGAAACGTCTTCCTTCCACGTGAATCGAGGTGTTTTATAAAAGTTCAATGAAGCAGCCGGCTATCCTATCTCCCAGCCAGAGCTGTAAATGTCGGCCACTTTGTAGGCCTGTGCAAAGCAAGGATTTGCCCAAGATTCCCAAAGCTTTAGTTTAGACGAATATTTAATACCCTTATTAATCATTTTTAATCCGTTTGCCTTTAATTAAGAAACAGCATGATGCTTCCCTATCAACATATGCCAGGGAGCAGATTAATTGTGGCTTAAGATAACTTTCCTTGATTGGTGTAATGTATTAGCTAACTAGATGCCAGGCTTAATATATATATAAATAAAGCTGGTAAGGCTTTTTACCTTCCAAAGCTCTGAACTCTCCAGAATACAAGTTTTACACACACACATACACACACACCCCAAACACATTCCCTTTTGCAGCATTTCTAGTTCAATTGAATCTCCATTTTTTTCTTCCTACTTA